TATTATTATATATATATATATATATATCTATATTATTATATACATCTATATATATATATATATATAAGTTTATATTGCGATTTATGCCCATTTACACACACTATTAACAATTTGTACACGTATGGAGGTCGTGATTGTTATAAATCAGGTTTGAAAGCATGTGACAAAGTGTAAAGATAGCAACTCACCACTCAAAGAGGGATATTCGAACCCCGCATCCTGTTCAAGTTCGTTCAAAAGGTCGTCTACACGGTCGGCATCTGTATTATTCACACAGGTTATGTTGGTGCCAAGATAGTTCTCACGAGTCATTCTAAACGGTTTGATCGTTTTGGTATACGAAATACAAAAGAGTATGATTTACGTTTCCTAATATACGGTGTAGAATGAGTTATTTTTGCTCATATATATCTTACTTCAACCGAAAAGCATATCTGTGTAACTGCTCCGAGCCACTGCCCCTCCCCAGATGAACAGCAACGTGATTGAGCCCTGGTACCTTTACGTTCTAATGTATTAAACACCTATGGGTGTGTATTCACTTGTAACTATAAGATGTAATATATCTGAAGCAATACATACACTGATGCAGTACATGTTAGTATTTATATATGTGTATCATAAATCATATGAACAATTCTGTCACGAGTCACGATACAACATCAAACTCATACCTAGTAGAAACTCCTCACTCCTACAACCAAATGACAATCACCCATAACTCTCCTTCAGATGAAGCTCAAATGGAATACTCTACCCATGTAATTTCACCTACTGCAATATACCACCCTATAATTACTGCCAAAGTACCTTACTGTGCCCTTATAATTAAATACAAAGTGTCCTGTAACCATAGCTGTTGCATACGTCCCCAACCACAGACAGACAAACAACAAGCAACAACACGCCCAATGAAATCCACAAAATGACCCACCTGAGTCCATATCGTCTGCACTATCGAAGTACTCGCTCTGAGACATCCCGTCATCGCGCTCCACTGATGAATCACTCCCAAATATGGAGATATCGTTCACCTCATGCGCATCAGTCCTATTCCTCGAAAACGAAGCATCTCCACGCGTGTCCTGTGATGCGTGCGTGTGCAGGTTCCCAGGCCTAACGCGCCTAATTGGTGCGTTCAGATGCGCTTGCTGACCGTGTACGCTATGGTAGTAGTGCATACCCGCTGTGCCTGTAGTTGTAGGCGTGCGATGATGCTGTGGGGTGGGTGTGGGGGTGAATGTACTGTCGTTTGGCCCTTGATCGCCATCGTCACTTTCGCTGAACTCGAGTCGTCTGGGCGGATCTCTGTGTGCCTGCGAGTTACCGTCAGGTGTACTGGGATAGCTTTTCATTGTATATAAGTATTTGTATGTTATTTTTTAACTATACACGTAATAATCCGCACCGTACGTGTGTGTGTGTTTGCGTGACTTGATTATATACTTATAATGTCCGTGGTCGATTGTGTGGCGTGTGTGTGTTGTTGCTTGGTTCTGTACTTCCAAATGTCCGTGGTCGTTTGTGTGGTTTGTCAAGTATGTAATGGCGCTGAGAATTTCGCCTTTCTTTTCCTTAGCGTGTGTTCGTGCAGTCTAACATGCGAAATAATGTGATACGATTTTATCCTACATTATGCAGTATGTACTATACGTTCTACTAGTAGAGTGTATGTATTTATTTTGCATCACGGAATATATTTATGTATACATAGGCTAGTAGAGTATGTATAGAGGGTAAGTGTGACTAGTATTCTCACTAACCATTGGTTGTGTAGTGGTAGCTAGTGAAAGTAATCTCACTAGTCATTGGTTAGTTCTGATAAATGTGTGACGTATACATACCGCTTCATTATACTGACCGGCCTCAAGGCTCAAGTCGGTGTCAATTTTGAACACAATACGACCAAAAAAAAATTCATAAAATTAAGCAAGATAGTACCATTACAGTCTTACACACACAAAACAGTACACGGTAGTTGAGGTTATTACTTATTAGTAGTAGGCTATGGATATTAAGGAACTTAGTCGACGTAAATAATTATGTAGAGACCGGAATATGCTCTAGTATCTCTAGCGTAGCGGCAAACTCGGATTGTTTTCATGCGTCAAGTTCTTGTCGCTGACTATAGGCCACTATCATTTTACTTGACAAATTACTTTCCAATAATGATGTCATCATAATGATGTCATATGTTCGCGTGGTCGTCTGAAACTGAAAGCGTTAAAACTTAAACCTCCCCCCCTGCTCCGACGAGTTTTATACGTTAACGTGACAGAAACTGCGAACATACATAAACTCTGTACGCGTTTATTTACATAATTTGTATATAAACAAGAAACAGCACTTCGCGAATTATTTGTGTGTGTTCGTGATACCAATATTAAACTTGCTGCGCGAGACTTTTACCCATCCATACACACATACTTGTGACGCTAAGTGTGTATAGCTGCACCATCAGCCTGCGCATTGTGGCTCTATTTTACTTAAGTTGCGTCGACGTTTGTATCTAGTAATAGACCAACGACTTCAAATTGCATCATGTCGTCCTCACTCCTTCGATTGAGAGCTGTTCCACTATCGGCCTATCGCGCGCCGCTGCATGCAGTAAGAAAGCATAGACCGCATCCATACAACACAAATACGCAGTACATATCACACCAACACGTGCGAAGCCTCTCAATATGGGAAAGGGCCACTACTTGGGTGAACGGTCCTGATACCAAGGCGCCGATACCGAAAAGAACAGATATAAATGGCAATACACTGGTATGCGTTACTATAGTATCAAATGATGGGTTTACTAAGACACATGCATCTAAAAACATAATAGTGGATGTGAGGGAAGATTATGTGCAGAGCTTCCCTATGAAGATGAGCAGACGTTTGGTGTATTTGCGTGAGCGATTTAATTTACTATTAGCACTGTATGAATACTTACACGTATATATATATCTCTAGTAGAAAAACGTCTACTTTACTACACATTGTTTGCTAAAGGGAAATTTAGCAATAAAGATGCCATCGAATATGTTTAATACATGATATAGTGTAACGTACTCGATTGACACATAATTGCTTCAACAAGTAATTATCACATCGCAACTTGGTAATTTATGGTTTAAGCTACATGGGCACGCAAAGATTTTAATTGGTGTATAATGTATTCGTATCTATCTAAGGCATTATAAAAATATTATGGAAAATTTTTGTAGATATGTATC